GAGTCTTGGAGTGCTACAGCACTGCAGAAAGGAGCTGAAAAGCTCAGAGAAGGAATGTGGAGGGGGTGACCTTGCCCCTCTCCCCTCCCCTGCTGCTACTGCCAAGCTGGCAGTTTTTAGTCAGAGCACGAGAGCTCTGCAAAGGGGGCTTGAATCCCCTGAAGATATGGACCGTCATGAAGGCTTCTGCATTTCATTGACATGACGTGGTGAAGCAACCTTTGTCCAGTGAATGCAGCCCATGGAAGATAAGACCCTCGCTTGGAGTCAAAGGGCCACGAGGGCTTGGATACCTCCCCCTTGTGTGTACCGGCAGAGATCCAGCTACAACTGCTGCATGAAGTGAGATATACTGCTGCCCTGGAGAGACTGCTGCTCTGAGAGTGGAAAGGATCTTTTCCTTCTTCCCTCCTGGACTTTTATTTGGAAGGGAGAAGAGATTTGATCCATTGTAAATACTACTTTGTCATGGTAGAGATAGTTGAGATTGTATACAATGTATTATACTATTTATTTTCTACAGTCATTGTAATATGACCCTTTCCCCCCATTTTGAGTCTCGTGTGGTGTCTGGAAAACCCATCTCACACTGGGTTGAGATGAGGGAGGGGGACTAGGACTCGAGAATTGGATTTTGGGGTTCTCAAACCATGACAGTGAGCCTGGCAGCAAAAGGGGCCTGTGACATGGCAGAGGGCACTGAGGGGCAGTGCAGGGGCAGGCACGGAGGTGGGGAGCAGCACAGTGCAGGTGAGTCACTTGGGAGAACATGACAGTGAATACCTGAATAAGAGCTTTGTATTGAAAGAGAAACTGCTTGAGATTTGAGCACTCCTGAGGTCGAGTCACTTTTGGCTCTTTGTGTGTAAGATTGTTTTGTACAGCAGGTGCTTTGCATCAGCTTTAGCTGTCCCTGGGAAGGATTGTGAGTTATTAGTGTGTACACCCCAGCAGAAAACCAAGAGCTTAACACACACCTGACTGTGATGCTCTGGAGCACACTGGACTTCCCTTCATGAGAGGCATATGTTCCTCACAAAGCATAGCCAGAGCAAGGATGATGCCAGCGTCCTTTGACTTCTTTCTTGAATTTGTCAATTCTAACTTTCTATCACATAGAAAAATATAAGTAGTGGAAACAGATTTCTTCACTCTTGTTCAGGCAAATATAAATATAATAATAGGCAATGGTTAGAAGATCATAGAGATTGAATAACAAGTATTTGATAGATCCATAGCATTAACTTGAGGATCCAGGGAATCCTGCATGTCAGTTGTCCCCAAACAGCATCTGGAAAGGCCGGTTGTTCCCATAAGCATGACAGACACAAGGGAATGCAGTTAATTCAAACATGACCACATCAAATTTCAGTCAGAAATGCTAAAACTACCTTCAGGTTTTTTACAATACAATGGAAATGCCGCAGCACATTTTTCAGGAAGTCTAGGCCTGCCTGCAGACACAAAGATAATGCAGCTTGACACTGCCAGAAACTTTGGTTCTCATCACGTGCTGTAGCAATTGCAGGCAGAAGATCCTGACAGTGTCCAGGAACATCAAGTTTTTACTGAAAATCAGTTATTTTTCAAAGTGATGCTGTAAAAGGATCACTGCTGTGGTGAGGAGGTACTTCTCCCCAGATTTCCTGACCCTGGGGAGTGGCACAGCATTGTAAGGCAGGACTTCAGACTCTTTGACTTGCCTTCTGACGAGGTTTATGTACTCAAAATATTACTCCCAGCAGCAGCATGAAAGCAGGTACTCTGTAGCTTTTTCAGTACAAGTATGTATAGAGATTATCAATGGAGAAATATGTCATTTTTGCTGTTGTGTCCAGTCTTTCACCAGGAGGCAAAAGCCTTGTGAGAGAGAGGAGGAGGTAGGAAGCAAAATTGCACTGAAAAATGTTCCTAGCATTGACTTTCTCTTATCAATATTCCACATAGTTGTGTGCATTGTTATATTATAGAACAACATTATTCCACCTTACAAAGAAGATTTTCAAGTTTGCTTTAATCATATTAATGTACCCGTTTAAAGGTGGTCTCCCACATACTTCCCTCTACCTCCTTCCCCATATATACCTGGTTTAAAGATTATCTGCTCCAACCAATCATTTCTGCCTTTTTCTTCTCTCATGCTCACTCACCACTAATTCTATTATGCTGTCTCACCTGATCTAGGATCATGTAATATACTTAAGGTCAGTGAAATGAAGTAGGTTAAAAACAATATGAAAACAAAAAGATTTTTTGTGTATGTGTGTATCATGTCACTTCAGTTTACACCAACTCCAGCAGCAGTATTGAGACAGCTGTGAAGGTAACAAGATTCCAACTATGATAGTCTTTGCGACCATTGAATTGGAAAGCCAGAGGTGTTCAGATGGAAGTGCCTGACTTTTCAAACCCTTTCAGTGCATGGGACAACATCAGTAGATGAAAACAAGGCACCTCAAAAAGGTGGACTAGCACTTATAGCAGAGAAACTCAGTGATACTCACAGAATCACAGTCACAGGATTCTTAGGGTTGGAAGGAACCTCTGGAGATCATCTAGTCCGAGCCCCCCGCCAGGGCAGTGTCACTTAGAGCAGATGACACAGGAACTCCTCCAGGTGCCTTTTGAATGTCTTCAGGGAGGGAGACTCCACAGCCTCCCTGGGCAGCTGTTCCAGCGCTCTGCTCAATGCTATGTTTCTTCCCATGTTGAGGTGGAACTCCTGTGTTTTAGTTTATGACCACTGCTCCTTGTTCCATTGCTGGGCACCACTGAAAAGAGTCTGTCACCATCCTTTTGGTACCCCCCTTTGAGATATACATATTAATGAGATATCCTCTTAGTCTTGTCTTGGCTAAACAGGCCCAGCTCCCACAGTCTCTCCCCTTAAGAGAGATGTTCCAGACCCCTCATCATCTTTGTGGCATCCACGGGACCCACTCCAGTACCTCCTTGTCTTGGAGACCAGAACTGAACACAGTAATCTAGATGTGGCCTCACTAAGGCTGAGAAGAAGGGGAAGATCGCCTTCCTCAATCTGCTGGCCACACTTTTCCCTAGTGGCCAGTGTTCTAACTCTTTTTCTTCCCTTTTTTCTTTCTTTGGTTTTTGATAAATTTAATTCCAAGGCAGGCACTTTTCCCAAAGGTACATGGAAACAGCTGAATAAATGGTCTGATAAAAAAACATATTTAAAATTGCATTCATAAAATTTGCACCTTGTACCAATAACACACCATTGCTGTGCTGGGATTTAGATGGTGGCTGTGTTCTACACAGAGAGTGTATGGCATGTTTATAGATGGCATGTTTATAGATGAGAAAACATTATCATTATTGATATTCTGGTCTTGTTTGAACATTATCTTGTGATTTTGTTGCTGCTGCTGTTGTTTTTGTGAAAAATAAAAAGGCAAAATAACTTCACATTGCTTTCAGGCTTGAGGGTCCTGTTCCTGAAAGTATTAATTCCTTCATATTCTTTCTTCACCTAAAAATAACTAATTTCTCTATATCACTCACAAACATCCTTCAAAGAAATACGTGGAAAAAAAACAGAGAAGTTTCAGGAAGCTGCTGCACCTGCAAGTGTAAAATGAAGCATATGAGCATTGCAGATGGGCAACTTTCACAGTAATTTCACAGCATAAACTGTTATTTTCATTGTGGCTTTTGCAATTTTTATTCTCAGCAGCATTCTGTCAGTCAGGGTTATACTTACTTGTGTGTACTGGATAAAAGAGAAGATAGCAGGAACTGTCTAGCATTCAGAGCTGCAGAGATGAGCTAGTTCTTTGATCGTTGCATGATTTGTCTAGAGCTGATATTGTGAGCAAACACTTGCAGTGGTTTTTACCCATGCAAAATGACTGTATTGCTACAGTTAGCATCTTAAAAGTCCAACTGTCTTAAGACTGCCAGATATAATAGCAAGCCACAAAGTCTAATCTGCCCTAGTATTAATAATAAATGCTTTATCATCTGTGATGATTGTTTATTTTCACAAAAAAATATTATTTTATAAATAAAATATAGTGTTTAGCAGAATGAATAGCATAAAGAACTGCATTTCTACCACTACGAAAAAAACCCCATTATGTTATGTAACCAAAAAATCAGTTATCTTTGGCATGTAGCAGTGTCTTTAACTCAAATAAGTACCATCCCGCACTCTAATAAATTTCTGAACATACTAAGATAGAAGTTTTAGTAAAATAAAGCTGGAAACATAATGCGCTTCCAATGTTTTACTTCGACAACCCAAATCCTTTCAAAAATACTAAGAGGGTTGTGCAGAACAGCCTTTAATTAATTCAAAGACACACAGTTTTCTTCTGCAATCTCACCCCCTGCAGAGCTCCAGCAACTTCACTGAGCTGTATTTTGTAGGGGGTTCCGCCTTTGTGGTTTGGGTTTACCTTCAGCACAAATACAAGTTTAGAATTTCTTGTGAAGCTTATTTTCTCAATGTTGGCTTTCCCATTCTATATCATCCTTCCAACTCTTTGACTTGTGTAACAAGCACCCTTCTGAAGAAGGACGGAAGAAATGCATGATCATAGTTTTTAAAAAAGATGTATCTCCACATTGCAGAAATTTAAAAAAACTGGCAAGCAGAATCTCTCGAGATCCTACTGGCATAGGTCATAGCAAATAAACACATCAGCCAACACCTGATGAGTGGGAATGTATGCAGGATTCTTAGTGGTAGCAGGGCACTAGACTAGAGGTCAGCCCAATCTTTATGCCTGTAATTGCCACACACGTTTCCTTAGCTGCTATTCTGTGAAGATTCAAGCTTGTGTGCACCCATAGAGCTTCACGGGACTACACAATATGGGGAAAATGCAATACTTTTGAATATCACATGGTGCATACTGCTGATGGCAGCAGCCAACCAGCCTGAACACACTTTAGTTCCCTTTTCCTACACCACTTCTTGCCTAATATCCTGAAGAGAGCAGTTCTCTCTACTGTTCATGATAATGAAAACCACAAGCGACATTCTTATGCAAACCCTCTGAGAGAAGCAGAACTCCTCTTAGTGAACAGACCAGGCTGTTAAGGTGAAACACCCGTGGATTGTCACACTGAGGGAGCCAGTTTTTCTGCCTGTATCAAAATACTGGAGACCTTTGGGATATCCAGGTAAACTGTTGTATATGTTTGTCTTTGAAATAAATGTGCAAAGTTCCAGAAGAAATAGAATCAGTACAAGATATTACATATAATTTAATTAACTGGAAATTCATTTGTAGATTCTACTTGGAATTCATTTAGGAGCTGAAAAGATGCTAAGCTGACAAAACATACTTCTGTCTCTCAAAGTCTTTTTTGCTGAAATTTTACTGAGTGGTCCTAATTTAAGTCAACTTTGCATTTTGAATAATAGCATAAATGGTATCACTCAAAGGCAGTTATTTTTTTGTTATTCCTTTTGCATTATTTATGCCTTCTTGCTTTGTGGGTGGGCTATTTTTGTAATATACCATATTCTGGACTGAGATATCACTTTGTGTACTTTGTTATTAGTTGGCCATGGAAAATATTTTTGTTTCCAGCTATGAGTCTAAATGGTACTCAATGCCTTAAAACTCCATTAAATTTCCTTTAAAATCATCTGGGATTCTGAAATTCTAGAAATAAGGGTAGGAACTTTGCAGTGACAGGAACCCGAGTTTTTCTTCCTTGAAACTTAGAGCTGTTACATCCACCTTAGTGGGATAACCAGTCAAATAAGACATTCATAAGTTACTGTATGCACTGTATATGAACAGGGTTCTAAGCGAAGAGAGATCTGTTTGTTACATTTCTGGGCAGATCACTAGAGAGTTGAATTATTTTGAAATAAATAATTTATAAAGAAACTATATGAGAAAAATTATTTAAAAAAAAAAGAAAATTTTTAAGTTTAATGTAGTTCTGTGTTTATACAAAGCCATGTTACAGAAATGTAATTGTTTTTCAGAAGGGGTATTAAACAGTCTGGTTTTATTGGATGGAAGCTCTTTATGGAAAATTAAAAACACCAGGTTTCTGTTGTTGAAGACTGAGTTGCCAATGATTGACAGTTTTTCTGATTTTGACTTAGATAGGTACCAAAAATAATCAATAAGGGAGAAACTTTGTGGTGAGGTTATCGGGACATAGGATGAAGAGATCATCATGCATAGACTGATGCTTAGACCTCATGCACAGCCTGTGACAGCAGTAGTTTGGGACTAAGCTGGGATGTCATCTGGCTGTTCTGATCCAGCCCTGTGCCCTCACTAGTCCTGGTCTCGAACTCATCTGGAGCTGTCCGTTTATGTTCCTGCAATATGAGTAGTTGGTCTCATGATTAAATAGAAGGTGAGTAAAAGTGACAAGAGAGAGGTACCAAGGTGCAGAGCAATGCACAATGGAAAAGATACAGAATACACTGTGATCAGGCTGGAAAACTGTCTTGTGTAATTTTGACAACTGCACATTCTCACAGATGAGCTGGTTTTGTCTTGTTGGTGCTACGGGGATGTTTGAAATACTTTCAGGGTAACATAGAGGCTCTAAGCCTCTCAATGGAGAATCCCTTCGATTTCTGTCTATCCTTTCCACCCTAGCGATCTGCCTTTCATAAAAACTCCAGGCAGCAGAATAGCCTGCCTCTGTCGGATGAGGGCTGGTTTCTCTTTATACCAACCATTGTATGAGAAAGTCTTGCTTGGGCAAACTCTGTTTTTCTGCCTTCTTTTCATATTTTTGCTACCTACATTCATAGGTACAGAGCATTGCAAAACCTCAACTCCACTTTCCAAATGCTGTGCTTACTCTTAGAGTGAGTCTTCTTTAACTAGAAATTACAGCTAGACTCAAGAGGAAGAAAAGCAGTGTGGAAATTATTTAACTCTTCTGGAAACAACAAAGTTGCATAATGGTAATTCTGAAACCTCTCTGTCTGGAAAAGGAAATAGTCAAGCAATAATTTATCACTAATTCAGAATAGGACTAACATCCAAACAAGCAGCTACATTGCCTCACATTCATGAAGTTCAGTAGAAGTTATATCAGGCCTCCATAAGGTTGCAAAATAATTTTCAGATCTGTATTTTTCTATAACTTTTACATAATTTTCCTTGTCTTTTCTGTCCAGTTCCTTATTCCATATATCGTGTCTGTGGATTAGAGCTCAATTCCCTTACTGGTTAACAGTTTCTCTGGTTATTTCACTGTCACAGAATTCATGAGGACAAACACTTTTCTTCTTAAAGGGATAGGTTTATAATGTTTATTTCATTACTCTCTAGCAAACTCATCAAGGTCTACTTCTACTGAAAGACCATGAGTTTTTTAAAGGCCTGTTTAGATCTTATCATTGGGGAATAGAAAGGAAAAAGTTACAGTTGAGAAGCAAACAGATGGGGTTTTTTTCCTTTATAAATCAGATCTGCATGCATTTTGAAGAATTGCACAATTCCTTGTACAGTCAACTTACATATATTTCATTTGCCTGATTAATAATCCTATGCACACACATCTGCTATTCCATTCACTGATCCAGTGTTGCTGTTTGAAGAAAGAGTAGCCTCCAGGGGAAGTTGAAGTTAAATGATCTTTTGTTTTCACCAAGACAGAAAAGTAAATAATAAGAGTATATGTATTCCCAGGCAAAACAAATATTTTTCAATCAAGCTTCTAGTTGAGACAGAAATATTCATAGTAAATTCAGGAATAATGTAGTTGGAACCTTCATACTTTTTGTGTTCTCATTACACTGCACTTCTGTACAGAAATGAGCAGTTATTTTGTAAATTATGGAGAATTACACTTGTTAACACTGAGGTGTAATTAAGATCTCATTGTGAAAGAATTCTGTACAAGTGATTCTTGGTACCTGTGCGAGTCTCTACTGAGGGCAGTGGCAGGCTGGAAAAGCATTGTGTATACAAAGGAATGTGTGGCATGGGAACTAAAACCTGGGGATTGCTCTAGAGTTGAACAAACACATTTGAATAATGCAAACATCTTGTATCAAAGCAAATCTTACTGTGCTCCTTACGTGCTGCTTCCAGTTCATATCAGAAGCTGAAAAGCCAAAAATATTTTGCACTGAATTTCCCAGTAGAGAACAAAGAGAGAGGTTAGAAAAATAATCCAAATATTATTGCATGAGGCTCCTCTGCTGCACAGGCAGTTTGCTCTTTAGAGTGCAAGGGTAGCGGGAGCTTAATCTCACTTCAGAATCTGTTCAAGTTCCCATTTCTTGATTTACAGCCTACTGTATGTGATAACGAAATAAGTAACTGCTGTCACTTCTGAGAAGGGAAACACAGGAACTGTGGGGATTGCTCTATGAGCAGGGCCACAAAAAAAAGATTTTCTCTTTTTCCCAGTTCCCAATCTGTCTATCTAGCCTGTCAGGTTGTGCATTAGAATCCACAACATGGCCTCTAATATAATGTAGCTTATGAAGGCAGAAACCAGTGAGGTACATTTAAGAGAAGCAGAAAGATTTCACCAAGTTTCTTACTCTCTTCTGACTCCTAGTGTTCCCTTTACCATTTACTACTCATTTTAATTAGACGAAAGAGGGTCTATTGCTGATTGTAAACCCTTCCACATGTCCAGCAGCTTTTTAGTCTTGAAGAGCTTGCAAATATGTATGACAAGGACAAGGTTTGTTCACAGAGTTGGGAAGAAACTTATTTAAAAAAATCCATTGGCAATCCTAACATGGCAGTAGTGAATGTTTCAGTGCATTTTAAAGCATGTATGAATGTAATTAATGTAATTTTGTTATTAAAAAGATGTAGAAAACTTCTCAGAAACCATATATATAATAATAAACTTCTTCAAGGCTGCATTCCCAGCTTTCAAAGTTTTACGTGCTGACCGTTGTGGGAGACCAAACAGGTGTTCAAGCTCTGAAGACTTCAGATATGAAGTAAAATTACATTATCTCTACTGGTTTAGTTTTGTTACAGAACTTAAAAAAAACCAAAACATGCATTAGTTCAAAATCAAAAGAGATCAAAGACAAAAGGCTTTATTATTCTCTCTTGCCTTTCTATTAGCTTAACTTTCTGTTTAAGGGGGTAAGATCAGTGTTTTGCAAGGTATTTTGGGAGAAATCTTAAATTATTAGTGGTACATATGTGTATGTCTGCAGTGGAATTCTGTGTGTGTGTGTGTGTGTGTGTGTGTGTGTGAGTGCATATGCATCAAACAGCAGTGGATGGCTTAAACCTGATAATTTCCGTAGTAAATGTGCACTTCCTCCCTTCTCTATATGTGCAAAAGAAACAACGTGGTGGTCTGGGTATAAATTTTATTAAGTCAATCTCGTTTTGGCTGCATTAAATGTGAGTAATTTGTACAACAACACAAGCAGTTTGGAAAGACTGAATTTCTTGGCAATGTTGAAAGACTGAGAAAGTTAACTTTAGGTTACAACTTTAGGTACAACTACTCCAGCATGACAGGCCATTTATGTAATGTGATACAATCAAATGGAAGGCAAAAGGAGCAAAAGCCCAATTGAAAAGCTCTTGTTAATGAAATTTAAAAAATCACTGAACACACGCTGAACTGTACTGACTGAAGACACAGTTCATTCCTCAATATTTAGATTTTTTCAAACACCTGTTTATTATGCTTTGTAGTGATACTTCCTTGTTTACAAACAAATTATTCAGAATCCTTCCTATTAATAACATTCCTGCTTTATGCTATTAGTTTTACATTTTAACTCACACACAAAATCCTGATCCTACTCAAACAAGTTGTGAATTGGATATGTCAGTGTATTTGCCATAGATGCACACCTGCTGCGACTGTCAGCTGGGAAAGGACTTCCTCTTTCAGGGGGCCCCTGGAGCCCAAAGCACAACAGGACCAGCTCACTCCCTTTGGTCCCATCCTTCACCGTGTTGGGTTTTGCTTGTGCTGAACTCAAATGTATTGAGCTTTTGTTTTCAGTTCATATTAAAGACTGGTCCAGAAAGTTACTCAATAGGGCTGATCAATTCAAATATTTATTTCTGAATGAAGCTGCATTTTATCCACTTGGAATTGTTCAACTTTTTTTTTTCCCCAAGAAGTTCAGTATCTTTGAAAGTATCTGGGTGCATTGTTTGTCATTTCTTCCCATTTTGCTTCACGTATTTTCATTTTCCATCCACACATGCACCATGTTTTTCAGATACAAAATGGAGAAGAGAAAGACGGACAAAGCAAGGGTGGGGGGAGCAGCAGGGAAGAACACTGCTGAGAATGGAAAGAAAAACTCACACACACACCCCTCAAATCAGAAAAATTTTTGTTTTCATGAAGGAACTTGCAGTTCTCCAAAGACTTGGCAGGAATAGCCCTAATATGGTACATTACCCAGGTCCTAGTACAATCTGTACTTCTCACCACAGACACTCAAATTTTTAGGTATATATTAATTTTAAAGTAGTAGTTTTTTACATTTATTATATGTCCAGTTCCCAATTCCAGATATAAACAGAAATTATAATAAGCCCAAAAGGAGCTACATGGGCACTCTCTAAAGGCAGTGCCTGAATGAAAATTTTAAAAGATTGTATCATCGAGGCAAGGATATAACAAAATGCTCAGCTTCTCTTAACCCTACAGGAAGATGTGCTAGCCAATCAGCAGTACCACAAGCCTCAGACCAGGAAACTCTTTAAAGTACAGTATGTGTGAACATTGTAACAGGACTTTCTCATTGCTCCTCTTTGTTTTTCTCTTCTTTGTGCTTTTAGCGTAGGAAGTCACATTTGACGTTACTCATGGAAAAATTTGAGAAGGGTAGCGGAGACAGAGAGGATGATCCTGCTCAAAGTCAACCCTTCAAAATCCCAAGAGAAGAAATTCCTGAAGGATTACAACAGGAAAGGAAAGCAGCATTTGAGAAACTAGCAAGTCAAGGAAATGCATTGTGTACTCCAGGACCCAGTACCTCTCATGAAACTGTTCATCCTAAGCCTCCTCTGGCAGTCAAGCCTTCAACTGATGACAAAAGAGAGCATGATCCAAAGCCATCACATTTGAACCCAGTGGCACAAAGGTTTGGTGTTCATCTTCAGCCAACTAACAGAGAAAATTATGGAAAAACTGAATGCACTAAATTCCCCATCAAAACCTGTGACTCGGCAAAAGGGGACCCAAAGCCTCTATGTCCAAAACCTGCAAGGAACAAGTTCCCCAGCTCTGCTCCTCCTGATAAAGAAGAAAATACTCTGGGAGAAAAACCAAATTCAGATTTGGCATCACAGAAGAGTGAGGCAAAACCAGCATTTCCAAAAGTAACTGGAATTAAGAAAAAGCTAATGTCTGCAGCACAGGAAAATGTACCCAAGCCTTCTCTCTTTAAAAAACCTTCTTTTAACATTGAGGTCTCTAACAATACAGACACTTCTAATAAATGTGGTTCTCTTCAAAGTAGTCTGTCAGGCCCTAGAACAAATACACACTCACTTAAGAAAGTAAAGGAAATGAGTGAAAATAACTCAGCTGCAGAAGCTGCAGACAGTCATCTTCCTAAAATATCTCTGAAGCCTGCTGGCCACTCACAGAGCTTATTTCAAGGCACCTCGAAAAACGTGGAGGAAGAGACTGAAGAAAAGGGAATGAGTGTTACCAAGACCACCATTGCCAAGAAAGTCAACCAGGAAGGATCAGATTCTTCTAAGTTTCATAAAATCAATACAGCACTTGGTACAGAAAGGTCATCAGATGAATCACGAGAGAAAGAGGATGGGGACAGGAGTTCAAGATGCCCCAAGCGAAGGGTTTGGGGCCCAGTGGTCAAGATGGCCCCAAACCCACCAAAGCCCAACAGACCCCCACATGTGGAACTACGAGGATACCAGAAGAGCGCCCCAAAAAAGAGTAAGTCCACTCCGTTCTTTCTGTCTTGAGTGTTGGCTTTTTGAAGCATTTAGTATCAGGTTAATTTCAGACGGAATCCTCTCTTCTGTTCAGAAATAACATGGCACTGCTGCATCAGACAACCCCTTAAAACTTTAATTTATGCTTGTGTACAATCTATGTTTCCGTACAGGACAGAAATTAAAATTATATTCTCTATTCTCCAGCAATAAAGAGCAGGATGAATGCTTTCCGTATTGGGTTTATTTGTTTTTCAAAACTGCTTAGATACAGCTTTAACTTGTGTCAGGGAACATATTCTCAACAGACATTTAAGTCCTGATTTCCTATAAATGAGATGTTGGTGTCCTGTTCTTGACAGTAACTTCATGGCCACAGCTTGAGGGCCACCAAAATATTATATATATGATATTGCATATATTAAATCATAATCTGTAGTAACCACACTTTTTTTTTCCTTTTTGCCTTTCACAATGACTAGTCACAGCAGGAGTCTAGAATTTGAGGTATTTTAAAGTTTGTGACCCTGGAATTTGATGCATTTTAAAGTTTGTTTATAAAGTTGAACACTATGCAAAATGACAGAATTAAATGTTCTTACATGGAGCTGCAATGATTTTATACCCAGATCTGAATTTGGACTCCAAAACCTTCTCCCAGACTTAGCGTTTTCTGTTAGGTTTGGATGACTGCAGTAGTGTGGCAGCTAGTAGTACCTGAGGCTCTGTCTCATTATTTTTTGAAGAACCAAGTCTCTGAACTGTATAATGGCCCCAATATTAAGGCTTGTCACTCGCTTTCTGTAATATTTGAGATGGTCTTGCATCTGACCAGATGTCTGTAAATACATTTGAAATATCTGACAGGACACAAATCCCTGTGAAAAAAAAAAGAAATTGCTGTGACTCCATTTCTGCAAAGACTACTGTTTCAACAAACTGCTTTCACTGCATAAGAGAAGCTCAACAACAGTAGAAGCTGTTTCTGAGACACTCAAAATATGCCTTTGAAAAGCTCGCATAAAAATGTAGATTTCTGAAGTCAGACCCACATATCCACTGTGACCTCCTTGAAGGAAAGACCTATTTGCAGAGATTCCAAATGTCTTTGATTCTCCCCTAGATCACCTCCATTTCAAACTTTTGGGTTAGGGTTTTTCCTCAACAGCTTTTAGTCACTCTTTGACAATGCCAACTGACAAATGTTTAAGTTTTATAGTAGCTGAAGGAGGCTCTCTGTTTTTCTCTTCTAGCAACAGGTGTTCGCAACTATGAATGTGTAAGAAATACTGATTGCATTTCAAAATCAACATTTTAAATTATATGGTGGACAGGGAACGTCCCTCTCAGTGCATGAGAGAAATAAGGACTGAAATAAAAAATTATTACTGTGTTACATTTTTATGGGATTTTCTTCTTTTTTTCTTTTTTTTTTTTTTCCCTTGATGCACTGCTGTCTGTGTTGAGCACAGGAAGCAAAGAATATATTCTGTCCCTATATATATTTTTTTAGGTCACGTAATTTTAGCCTGTTGTGTCCTGTGTCTAACTGTATGCAGTTATACACATTTCACCTCTGTTAGTTTTCCTTAACCATTTCTCTTAGATTTAATTCAACAGATCAAACTTTGATTCTTAAATTTTTGTTGTAGTTAGTGGGAAAGGGAGATGCCCAATGATGTGATTTAGAGCTCTAAAGTACCTGACAGTGGATGCTCTGAGTAATTCCACGCTGTGCATATGCAGTACATCAGGTACGTTCATGTAATTTTGTAGATACATAGTTTGTCCTTGTACTTTCTGTGTCTAGAACACAGTATGGCTTGTGCTTCAGCAGTTCTTAATATATATAAGGCTGGTTTTCCTGAGACAGAAGATATGAAAAAGCTCAGAGTTGACTTTCTCTACAGACAAAAAGCCTTCCTAAAAACACAGAGTCTGCATGCAACTATGTATTGTGTTACCATTAATTCCACCCAGAAATTAGGAACATATCAGTAGCAAAAAAATGTACTTTCTTGTCAGCTGCCATATTCTGGTTTTTACCTATTAGCCTATAGTTAAGGAAATCCAAGATCAGGCCAAGATCCTCAAATGGTGCAAATTTGTGTATCTCTTTAAAAGAAATACGCCAATATACAATGTCAATATAGAAACGCAGAATTTTCAGCCAATTACACCAGCAAATATTCTGATTAAATAAAAACAGGAAGAGTTTTGCTAGCTAAAATTTTAAGAAGCCCTGACAAAGGCTGGAAACAAAAAATGACAATTTATGTTTTAAAAAATACATTTTATGGTTTAAGTAATTAATGGAGGAATTATTTTTATTTGTTTGCCTGTTTGGTCTTTATTCAATTTTTTCCTGATTTCCATTCAGTTATAGACACAAAGCATTTTTTTCAACTTCTTTTTAAAACTGAGGGTTAGAAATATTTATCCTGTGCATTTTAAATTAACACTATGAGCAGGGCTGTAAGAATAATACCAGAACTTTGCTAGAAGTAGGGTCTCCACTAACCAAGAGTTAGTGCAGCCATTAGATTGGATGAGTCACACTGGGAACTAAGGATGGAGCTGCCCAGCATGGTGGCACGGGTTGTTTTCCAAACGTTACAAAATGCACACCCAACTAAGTAGAACAGAAGAATCAGACATGATCTTCTCTATCTCACAGTCACAGGCTCAGGACAAGACTGAAAGATTTAGAAGCCACATTAGTGAGAAGCTGTTCATAGAGACCCTGAACTTCAGCCTTCCCCCACAGAGCTGGCATGAAGACCCTGATGTTCTTTAATTATCTTTAATTAATGCAAAGCATTCCTTTGTGGCCAGAAGTCTCCATAGAACAGTTCTGGCGGACAGCCCAGGGGACCTAGAGTGAATCCTGAACAAATTCCTTTTCAGATCAACAGTTATTCACTGTTGCTGTATTTCTTAGAACATAAGTAACAAAATCTACCTGCTTTGCAAGAGCAGTTAAACTGAAATGTATTCTTTTTTTCTTTTTAACTGTCATTTCAAGATTCAAAGTAATGTCAGGAAGACACCGCCCCCACAGAACAAAGTCTTCCCGCTCATTACTGTGTCCTGATAAACAGCAGCTTGCCATAGTTTCTTAATTTGGCACCATGATTCAGGTGCTGAATAAAAGAAGAATAAGCAAATGCAAATAGTTTTCCCATGCAACAAAGTTTTCTGAGATCTAACCTTCAGAGCTTTTGGTCTGTATTAGGGCAAAGGTTAGGCTTTGTGTTGTCGTTTGAGAAGAGAAAAGCTTTACACATGGTGGTTGTTACATTTGTGTTAGGGGTATGTGCCTGCACTGCAGAAAAACTTGTACTGCCTGATTTAAAATAGGAGTTTGAATTCTGCTTTCTCGGAAGTATCAGTTCACCCCTTTCTCCTTGTTTGTTCTCCTTTCCCAGGAAAGCTGTTTTAATGGGTTTTGTACATAAGTATTCACAGGGCATGAAGTAACATTAAATGTTAGATGCTGAAGGATGTACCTTTGACACAGCAGTCTTAGTCACACGTGGGAGAAGAATTTAAACCATCCACCACGTCTGCTTGAAAACTCAGGGATGCTAGTTTGGTGTTGGCATTGTTGTGGATTAGAAATTTTCACCTAGTCCTGAATAAAACTTCTGTAGATAACAAATGTCTTGTTAAGGAAAGTTTGACTATTGATGTGTTACCATTTTTCAGTCAAGTCAGTCTTTAAGAAATTCCTATCTGGGCCTGTGAATGCATGACAGGTTGGTAAATTCCTCTGTTATGTCCCATTACAGCAATTTTCCCTGAGAGGAGATCATATTTACGTCAGTTAAGAATCAATAATTCTGAACCGCACATGTGCTCTCTAGTTCAGAAATAATACCAACTGTACTCTTTTATAATAAACATCTGAGATCTTAGGAAAAAGAAGAGAAGTAAAGTCATTTTGCTGGCAGCTTTCCATGTGAGGTCACAACCATACTGTTGCTTCCAGAGGAGAACCCCATCTGGGCTGACCTCAGTGGGATCATACATGTACAGGTGAAGTCAGTTGGAGGCTGAGAACCCCTTGTGCTCCACACATCCCTGAACAACTGGTGAACCATCAACACTGGGGCTTCAGCTAGGGAGAATATTTTGAGCTGTATGATGACCAATGAAAGGATGCTCTGTACAGAATTTAGGAGGAAAAAAAAGAGATATGGAAGAAAATTCTCACTATTTATATTTTGGGTTATGTATGTGCAGTCCTCATTGAGGTTCTGTTCTATGATGGATTGTGTACCCGCACAGTGACATGACTCTTTCAGTTGGGTAAGACAATCAGAGAGAAAGGAGGAATTTGAGGTGCATTGTCAAAGTTATCATAACACTCTTTTGGCAAAGTAATTAACAATAAAACCCCACTCCCAAGGACAGTAAATGTCTTAACTGTCTTTGCAAAGCTGCTTAGAATAAGTCTATTGCTGTTTCTTACTTGATGGCAAGATGATACAGCAGCTTCCAAAGTTATAAATAACTGAGGATTTTTATTTTTTTTTTAAATCACATGGTGTCATGGCTATTTACTGCAGAATTTGGATTTAAATCTTAGAAGATTTTTCTTTTCATACCTCAGTGCCACACTGAATAAAGTTATGCAACAACTCAGTATTAAGGTGTAAGGGGATAAAAGAGAATTGTAACTCGAGCAAACCCTCTGCTTCTAAGATAGATGAAACTAAAAATAGGTGATGATATCTGATGACACTGTTCAGGGTGGGGTAGCAGTCACTGTGTGTAATGATGTGATGCCAGTGATTGCACTGATGAACTGTATTATGTATTATTACATTTCATGATGTTGATGTCTACTTTTATTGGTCCCCCATATATTTAACTGAAAACTATAGAAGTGATGATCACATAGATCTGCCAAGAACTTAACTTTCCTGGATCTGCTTGAAAACAACTACAAAATCTGGAGAAGAATTTGTATGTAGTTTTTAGCAATTCAGCATTCCT